TATATCTTTATTATCTCTAGCCAAACTCTCCAAGCAGATGCCTAGCTGTGCTCCATTTCATCATTATCAGTGAATGGAAAGGAGCCAGGTCCAGGGGCACTGTTCGGGCAGGAAGGTACCACCAGGCAGGAAGTTTTGACTCTTATTCAACCCAAATCTCGCTGTTTTCAGAAAAAAATATAGAAGAATAAATCACCATCCTATTTACCACAAGACTTGAAAAGTTAAGTATCAGCATAGGTAAATCAGGTATCAGTGAACCTTCATCTGACTGTAAGTTCTTGGAAAGCCAAAAGCCAGGTGAGGTTATGCAAAGCAGTTTTTATCCATTGCTAGAGCTTTTATTTGCAATCAAAAGCCAGATTTTCTTACATTATGATTTCTCCTACTGTGAATTTCTCCGCCCACCTACCCCTCACCCCAGAAAAGAACAGAACAAAAAAGTCCTTAGGATGTACATGAAAAAAATTGTGGGCACGTGCTCCAAAGCACACAGTTCTTTTTCTTGGTCACACCTGTCATGACTGTAAATTCATGTCACATAAAAATAAACGTCTGCCTGTCATCCTCATTGAAATGTAAGCTCCATGAAGGCAGACCCCAAGTGTGTCTGGTTCATCAGCATATTCCCAGTATCAAGCATAACATTTGGCACACAGCAGGCTCTTTATACCTAGAGAAGCAACAAATGCACTTGAAAATCATTCTAGTCCAACACTCCTATTTTGGGGCTATGAAAATGGAGTCTATAAAAGTCATTCTTGGAAATGATTTGCCCAAGATTGTATAACATGTTAATGACAAAGCCAGGATTATAACTGGATTCTTTATTGCCCATCCACATTCTCTGTCCATTACGACATAGAGGTTCTTATATCTAATATCCTGGGCAAACAACACTACTACCGATGAGTAGGGTACAGAAATATTTCTGATCTAAACATCTTTTGGTTGGCTGCCTGCCTCCCAGTGTTCTTTACCAGTTGGAACATAGAGACCCTCCTATAAATATGCCTAGTTTATACATACTTTATGTAGGACTCCAAGAACAAAACCCAAAACAGGATTCTTTAGCCATAGCAAACAGCCAATTTATTCTCTCCTATGAGTGTTAAGTTTTACAGAGGCTAAGCCACAGATGCCAGCTGAATTTCTATGGTTCAGCTACTACTAACTCAAATATTATGCTAAGCAGAGCTTCACTTTGTATGGCTTTTTAAATTTTATCTTAGGGTTTCTTTAAAGCAAAGATTCAAAAAATAGAGCTTCCCCTGAGCCCATGAAAAAAGTAAATGTAAATGTTCAGGGAGCAACGAAGGTGATTTAAAATTAGATTATGGTGATGGTTGCCCAACTCCATAAATTTGTCTTTTAAATTTTTTTTAATTCAGACACTTAAAATGGGTAAATATCATAAATTATACTTTAATAAAGCTGTTAAAAAAGTAAGTGTGAAAATGAGTCAGACAGTTGAAGCACTTCTTTTAGAAAACATTTGGTATCAAAGCTGTAGAGACATATCCTCATACTCTTTTAAGCACAAATTCTATCTACTCCAATCATGGTTTACCTACAAGGTCAAAAGTTTTTCCTTCAAATTTGGTAAAAATAATTTAGTAGACTAATATAAATATGTGCAAAGAACCAATCTCCATTGATGTAGCACTAAGAGATACTGACTCATTTGATTATCTGCATGAATGATCTACAGATATATTTGCTTAATTAAGCATAGCATTCTCATCCAAAACCTGCCATTAACTAGCCATTGGGTTTTGAGTAAGCTATATACATTTCCAGGGCTCAGTTTTCCCACCTATATCATGTGTCTCCATGGACCAGATTAGAGTTAAGTAGTATACAATATATTAAAAAGAATAATAACTGCTATCATCTAAAATGAATAACCACAAAGAAGCCACATTTTAGGTAAATTATCAGTCTCTGAGGAAGGTAGTATGATCCACGTTTTTGCAGATGAGGAACCTGGAACATGAGAAGTTTGACCACGGCCCCATGGTTATTTAGTAATAAACCCAGGATTCCAATCTGTCCACCTCCAAAACCTATATTCATTCTCTACTGCTCATTAGACTTTGTGCTTTTGATTTTGTCAGATGTGGGCATGAATCCTGACCCTGCCTTTGCTATGCTAAGTCAGTCATCTTCTCTGAGTCCAGTTTCTTCATCTGTAAATATGAGATTATTAATACCTAACTTCCAAGGTTGTTGGGAAGAGTAAATGAAAGTCCTTCCCTTATACTTAAAAACCATTCAATAATAGTCTTTCCCATCCCTCTCCCACAAAAGTTCCTTCCTGTGTTAAAAAAAGAAAAAAAATCCATAAATTCTATGACTTCCTCGTAGCCTACCTGGATAAACCTCACTGGGACTGAGTTCATCAAAAGCAATTAAAGTGAACACAAACAACACAGCATTAGTCCTTTGTTATCAGTCCTTGGCTCTCTGATGGAGACTGTCAACAAGAGTGTCAACTTCAAGGGGTGGGCATCTGTCCACAGGAACTGAGCTGAGGTCACAGACTTGTCTCACTCTGCCCTACAAACAGATGTCTGGGTGACAACTCTTAGTCACTGCAAACCAGGGTTAAAGCCAAACCAGGTGGGAAGCTCTGTATCTCCGTTCTAATCCGCTTGGCCAGGCATTCATTCCCTAAGACAATACCTCACCGACCATAATTCAAAATAACTAGTTTTCCCCCAGGGTACTATTTTCAACATAATGCCTTTATTTTGATGATGTCTACTTATTCCACAAGCAGAAAAAAAAAGTGTATCTATAATAACGATTTGTCAGCAGGAAACCTGTTTGATTTTACAGATTAGAATGTGCACCTTCAAATGTTTACCTTGCAAGTAACCTGGTGAAAACTGATGTAATGTGGAGCTCTAGTGGTGGCAAGAAAGTAAAGCAGCCATTAGTGAGAGCCAACAAAAAGCCAAGGAAATCACCACTGATCATTTATTTATGTGTTATTATGGTAAAATCACCACTTATTATTAAACTAATATGTTAAGAAGAAAATGGTTCAAAATGATACTCCAACATAATATAAGGTAAGCTCTAACTATAATGGCTTTCCTCGGGCGCCTGGGTAGCTCAGTTGGTTAAGCGACTGCCTTCGCTCAGGTCATGATCCTGGGGTCCCGGGATAGAGTCCCACATCGGGCTCCCTGCTGAGCAGGGAGTCTGCTTCTCCCTCTGACCCTCCTCCCTCTCATGCTCTCTGTCTCTCATTCTCTCTCTCTCTCAGATAAATAAATAAAATCTTTAAAAATATATATATATATAATGGCTTTCCTCCAGATTACAAATTAGACCTCAACAACTAACTTACATCAAACATCATGAAGCAGATTTAACCACAAAAAACAACTCAGTGCTGTGGCTGTCACTTTTCTACTTTTTACCAAGTGCACTAAGAATCCTATTAATCAAACAGTAGGTACTTTTCAAATAGCTAACAAGAATACTGTATACAGAAAATTCTGGACTCTAAGTGGTATGATCAGTGAAGTCCTGTACCAACTGTCTTGGGAATTTAAATAATCCCTACAGGCTGATGAGGTTGTTGGAAGTTAATTCCTGCACTAGAAAAGTGCCTTCCTTGAATTTCTAACTTCTGAGGTCTTTCCCAACTTAAAACAACCAAAAATGAAACCTACAATGTCAAACATTAACTCTTTGTTTTCTTGTTATCTAATGTATATGTCTTCTCAATTGAAAGGGCTTCCTTAAATATATATATATATATATATATATATATATATATATATATATATAATATATATATATATATATATATATATATAGCTCCATTATGGTCAACAATGTAGCAGAACATAAATAATAAAATTTTTATGATACACAACCAGGAGTTGACATTTGAAACTTCTAAACATGGTGCCTAGCTTAGCTGTATCAAAATAAGTTATCATGAGAAAAAAAGAAAAAAAAACACCTCAGAATATGTAAATATACAGGATCTAGCCTTTCCACATATAAGTATCTTAGGTATCATGTTCCTGAACATTAAAGAAAATATAACAGACTCATTTTTCTATAAGTGATGATGGAAGAAATGAAAATGCTCATAAATGCATTAACGACATTTATCTGAAATAAAAATCTCAAGACTCATGGGAGAAAAAAAGAAGACTCATGGGAGATTTTCATGGCTTACATCAGTTGAATCTACTAGATGTTTTTCAGTGGACACATTCAATGGCTCCTAAACTGTTAGATCTACAGTTGACTGACTACCAAGCCTCAGAGGTCTGTGAATGTAGATTTAATGATTACACAGGGGTTTTTATTCATTGATGTCTCTCTTCTCCATCCTTCTATTAATATGCTGTCATTAATACAGTTTCCTAACACTACACAGAAAAATGAAAAGATATAACAGCCTTTTCTGAGAAGTCATCAAGAATGGAATAGTTTGAAATGAGAAGCTCAAGGTAAAGAACTAATTTCCTTTCAGCCCTCATCGTTAGCTATACGGTAGGAGAGAGAACATTTTTGATAGAAAAGAATAAAAGCAGGTGTGGAAGTTAAGGTAATTTACTAACATAACCATATGTCAAAGGGAACAAATGGAAATCTGTACTAATGCAATATTGGCCACCAGAGAATTCAGAATCTAACATGTTCTGCAGTCCTTTTCACCACATACATGAAACCTGAATAAAAATGAAGAATATTTTTCAATCTGTGAATCTAAGAACTTTGTCTTTGTATGCCATCTTGCCTGTATTTTCCTTGATGATTATCTCCTCTGTCTTCCCATAACAGGCCTTGGTATGCTGCTTAAAATAATATTTGGGGCTTTGTTTGCCATTCTTTTGACTGAGACATGCTGATTTTATTAAAGTAAGTTGGGCCTGCATTCTTTCTTTACTATTATTACAGGTAGACTTGACAGATACAGGACTTTGCTCTGCTATGGAGGAAACCTTGTTAAATAAGTTCCATTTTACCTGCTGGGCAGTTGCACTCTGAAGGTGCTTCTCTCGCAATTCTTATTTTAGCCATATGTTCGTAGGATTTCTGTAGGAAAAGAAGAGGATATTATCATCAGTAGCATGGTAGAGAAATGGATTCTTCAGGAACTCTCTGGTCATATGCTTGATTTACCAGCATTTGAGAGCCTGCATAACTAACATTTACATATGTACTTGGACTTTAGTCAAAAGGTAATAGTACCCAAGCCCTAAAAAAAGAAATGACTACTGACACCGTATAAAGACTGCTAGACTTGTACAATATCTTCCTCCATTCTTCAACTACCACCACCCTCCTCTTTCTCCCTCAGCTCAAGCATATGCAGTCAATGCAAAAACCTGGCTTTAACATGTTGTAGTTTTAGGTAAGCTATGGGCTTTAAAACAGCCACTATCTTATACATGAAGGTCAACTGCTCATCACGTTGTGCCGCAACCACTGCCAAACAGCTTCTCTGTTGGAAGGGCAAGTTCCAGAAAACCCCCTAACTCTAGTCTAATGCCCTCCCTGGTTGTGATAAATGTAACCTAGATTCCTTTCAACTCTCAACTGCAATGGCTCTGCATTCATAAACACCCCTACCACTGCATCCTTTATAAAAAATTAAGCTGCAGGTTTTTTTTTCTTTTTAAACATTGAAAACAAAAACATTTAATGTGGGCAATGATCAATCTAAAAATCACATATAGGGTTATTTCACTTTAAAGAGTGATTACCATTTGTGTATTAATAACACCTATGGCCCTAACCTTCTTATAACATATGAAGGACATAACAGATGTTATCACTGGAAGGAATATTCTCCACAAGATTGGAAAAGATTCTTATGTCACTCTAGAAAACTAAAAAGATAAAATGCCACCCTGATATTCTGGCCACCCTTCCCTCTTTCAGTCCTTCCTATATGTTCAGCATGCAAACGTTAAGAGTGAGGGAAGATGATAGAGAAAGAGAGGGTGATATCAAAGGATGTGCATATACAAATATATGCCAAAGTGAGCACAGAAGGTGGCCTAGCGTATGCACACCCAGCCACACCAAGTATGCATACAGTAAAGGTAGAGGCTGGTCCTGTACACAGAATCACGCCTGTGCAAGATATTATCCACGTGCAAAATACCCCAGCCTTTCACACCTGAGCCAGAAGTCGCTCCACTTTCTCTTGCACCATTGCTTTGAGCTGATCCAGGCCATCTGGAAGCAAATGGATGGAAGGGTCCCCTTTTGCGGATTCCAGAGCAGCGATCCTCGCCTGGAGGTCGTTGGTTTTCACCCCCAGGTACAGACAAGACATCACAGCCACCACTGACAGAAGGGCCGCCAGGGCGGTGCACGGGGGCATGGTCCAGGCACAACGCTGCCCGGCGGGGCTCTGGTCCTCAGAGCCTGGTTCCCGACCCCCACCTTTCCCTGCATGCTTCTTCACCAGCATCGTGGAGGGATCAGTTGCCTCGGCTTCGCCTCCCACTCTCTACCACTTCCAAGAATCTTGAAAGGAAAGAAAAGGGACGATTCCTCCAAAGTTCAGTCTGGGTGGCTGCACAACTATTTGGCGGAGATGGAGCCGGGGCGCGGAGATGGAGCTCCGCTTTCCTCAGCGCCGAGACCAGCAGCCGTGGACCATCCTCTCCGCTTTCTTCTCTCCGCCCAGCTGGGAGTGAAAAGCACCCTCAGTCCCGAGGACTGGTGGCAAAAAGGTAAAAACCGGAATGAAACGCTCCCGGCTGGCCCTCCTGGCCCCTCAGAGGACGGACACCTCGGAAGGGGTCCTCGAGAGCTGCCGCCCAGGGTCCGAGGAACAGCGCGAGAGGCGCAGCGAGGGGCCGCCGCTCGCCCTCGCCACCGAGCACCCGACCTGTTGCGTCTCTGTTAGTTTGCCTTATTTCTACCTATTCAGTGTTTTTCCGCACGCCGACCTGTTTGCCACCTAGATTCAGTTCCAGGCAGAAAGGCTGAGAGAGACCGCGAGAGCGCAGCGCAAAAGGGATGCTAAAAGGGGGAGAAGGGAGAGAGGAAAACGAAATAACCCAAAGAGCAAATTCGAGTGGCCAGGCTTAAGTCGCGGCTGCCCGAAGTATCTCCGCAGCCTCGCGGGTGCGAGCCTTAAATACCCTTCGAGATGCTCGTGTGTGAGTGTGTGTGAGTGCGCGCGCGCTCCGAGCGCGAAGTCCCTCCCCCGACCCTCCTTCCGGCGCCCGGCCTCCAGCCCGGGGCTCCGGCAGCATTGCGCCCCCCTTCCAAAGCCCCGGCAGAAGCCCGCCTCATTAGCATAATGTATTCACCTTCGCCCTGCCCGCGGGCTCCGCCGGAGACCCTCCAAGGGGGCGGAGAGCTCGGGAGGGAGCTGAGCGGGAGGTCTGTATTAGCATAATACATGCAAATAGCGGAAACGGCCACCGTGATTGGAGGGGAGCCTGGCGACCCCTCCCCCTCCACGGAGTAACTTCAGCGTCCCCTAAGGCCACATCTCCCGCCTGGGCCAGGGGCTGAAGCGGGGTCCACTGTGGGGAAGGCGGTAACTCTGGCTTATACTGACGCGGCCCAACGCCCCCTCTTTATCCCTGTTAAATATGGAGAAATGGCCTCCAGGGGGGAAGAAGTGAAGCAGAAAGCTCTAGCTCTCCAAATCTTCACTCAAAAGCAGCAGCGGGAGCTATTGCGATCTCGCCGTGGTGCAACCTTTCCCCCTCCTCCCTCACATTCCCACATGCCCCGAGGCGAAGTGTCTGATGACGCCCGAGGTAAATGTCCCCACTTCCCTTCTCTTCCCACGGCCGCGCTGCAGAGTGTCCGACTAGGGGAAGTTTTCTCTCCCCTCCCCCAGTTTCCTTCTGTCTTGATGGGGCTGAGTCTCCTCCCCGCTCGGTGTTCCTAGTCTGTTCTAGGGTGCTAATGCGTTTTCCTGATTCCCCGTTTTGTGGGATTGAAAAAGGGAGCATGGAGGTACACACATTTCTCAGGATTTAGGAAAGGACTGAAGAATGAGGTCAATTTTTCCTCTTACCTGACTCTCCGCCCTCTGGATCAAATTACAAGTTCTCTAATGGGATTTTTGAAAGTAGGTAATAAGTAGCATTTTACATCTAATTGATTTTGAAAAAAAAAATCTCACCTTTTACTCCAAAAAAGTCCCTTCTTATCTCCTCCTCCCCACGGGAAATACCATATATTTTTCTTATCCTTCTTAAGCTAATGTCAGGTCGATGCTCATTAATGTAAACGATCAAGGAAATACTGCACTAAGCTCATCACAATGTAAAGATATTGCTAGGTATGAAGCAGGGTAAAAATGTTTCATTTGTTGATGGAGAATACAGAAATGAAAAAGGAGTAGGGGATGAAACAGACACAACATCGGAGGAAAACAGTGAATTGTGTTATAAAAGCAAAAGCAAAATTCCTTACAGTTGTGTTACACAGTAGCCTCAAAGGGTGGTCCCAGACTGACAACATCAACTGAGAGCTTACGCAAAATTCAAATTCTGGGACCCCTCCCTACACCTACTAAATCAGAAACTACTACTACTACTGATTCAAAAACAGAGATGTGTGTTGTAAGGAGTCCTCCTGATGGTTTTGATGCGAACTTCAGCTTGAGAACCACTGGTGTAACACCTGACAAAATTGTTTCAAATAGGTTTTCTCAGGGTGCCTGGGTGGCTCAGTTGGTTAAGCGACTGCCTTCGGCTCAGGTCATGATCCTGGGGTCCCGGGATCGAGTCCCGCATCGGGCTCCCTGCTCTGCGGGGAGCCTGCTTCTCCCTCTCCCCCTCCCCCTGCTGGTGTTCCCTCTCTCGCTGTGTCTCTCTCTGTCAAATAAATAAATAAAATCTTAAAAAAAAAAAAAAATAGGTTTTCTCATTTGAACCTCATAACCCTGTGATGCCGGTAAGGAATTATTGGCCCCATTTTATATATAAGGAAACAATTTTCAAGTCACATTTAATTGTGATTAAACGTGTTTCCAAGGAATAGGTATAAATTTTTTAAATATGTCAATTCTTTCTGATTTTCCAATTACCTCTCTAACCATTCCTTTGTCTCTTTTGCAGGTGTTTTCCTCTGCCTGTTCTCTAAATGTTGGTGCTCCTTAGGTCTTTATCTTATGCCATCTTCTAACTTTGTACACAATTTCCAGTGGTGCTCTCAATTACCATCCATAAACTGATGAGTAATAAATCCATATTGTAAGCCCAAACCTCTCTCCCAAGCTCAGACCTATATAGCCAACTGCCTGTTTGCTAATTCTACTTGGATGTCTCATAAGCAATTCAATTTAACCTGCATCTTACCTCCAAACCCTACTTTTTCCTTTGTTTCCCATGTCAGTAAATGGAGTTGCCATCTATACGGTGTCCCCAAGCCAAAATACCACCAATAACCCTTAACTTCTGCCTTGTCCTCCTCTCCTCATCTACCTTAATTCCTTCAATATTTTCTATTGTCCTTAGGATGGAAATAATATATCTTACAAATCACCACCTGGTGTCTGTCATCTCATCTTCCTCATTGCTCATCTTCCCCCTCACACTCTCCATGCCAGCTTCTCTAATGAAAGTATGGAGATAGAGAATGAAGAACTTTCTTTGGGGTAAGGCACTGCTCTTTTGAAATTTCAATGGAAAGGCCACTTTGTGTGTTGACTGATGTTGACAGTAGGTCACACATTTAATTTGGATGATGCAGTGTTCTTCTACCATGCTTTATGGAAATTGGTCATGAGAAGGTTAACAACTCTTTCAAGCTTTCAGAACTGTCAGATCTTAGTAGACAGAGTTGGAATTTTGTGGATTTGGGGTCTTTAATCAGAGGATTCATTTTGCTTTATTTCTTTGGTGGGCACAATACCCCAGAAATGTACCAGTCATTAGCACTAATATTTCAAAACCCAATAGATTTTCTGCATCAAGCCCAGAGAAAGCATGGATCAAGAAAGCTCTGGGGATCTAAACCCATATTGTTCTATAGATTCATCAGGGCACAGTTGTTGTTTTGGTTCCTATGTGGAAAAGGATTCGAAAAGTAAAAATAGCACTAAAAATGATGCAGTCCAGCTGACTCTGATTTGCCTAAGACTTATATCAGTAGTAAAAAAAGGCAAGCAGCTGGTTGCAGAATAGGTATGTGATTGGAAGAATAGGAGACCCCAAAGATGTCCACATCCTATTCACCAAAACCTATAAATGGGGAATGTTTGGATTTGCAGATGTGATTAAGTTAAGAATCTTGAGATGGGGAGGTTTTCTTCTACCATGTGGGTGGCCCCAGTGTAACCACCAAGGTCCTTATAAGAAAGAGACAGAGTCTCTTAATAAGAGGAGATGTGACCACAGAAGCAGAGGTCAGAGTGATATGAATACTAGCTTCAAAGATGGAAGCAAAAGAATATGGGAAGTCCCTACAAGCTGAAAAAGTCAAGGAACAAATTCTCCCCTGGAACCTCCAGAAGGAATGTAGCCTTACTAACCCTTTGATTTTAGAACTTCTGGCCGTTAAAGCTATAATTAATACATTTGTGTTGTTCAAGACCCAGAGTTTGTGGTAATATGGTACAATAGCAATAGGACCCTAATAGAATCTTAATCACAAGAAATCAGTCTTCATCTGCTATAGCATCATAAGCACTGTTAAATCCACTATAATGCCCTATAACTCAAGTAGGCCCTGTAATAACAGTCCCTGTGTCTCAAATGTTTATGCATTCCTATTTTACTGACATGCCCATTGGGAAAGAATTGGAGATATATGCCTTCTTCCATGACATGTAAAATTAGGATGCCCTCCATTGAAGCATATTAAGCAGAATAAAATATGTTCTATTTCTTTGATGCCTCCCATTGGTGCAACTCAAAAATAACCAGTCAAGTTGTAAAGCTGCTCTCATCTCTCCTCCCTACTGTTAGCCTAGTCACAATCATGACCCAGGACTCAACATTACAGCTAGTACTACTGTTACCAATCTCCAGGCCCCTGAAAAAGAGAAATAAACAGATGTCTGACAGAGAAACATGGCAGGAAGTTGACGTGAGAAAGAAGGTGACCAGGAGAAAACAAAAATGAGGAAGGTAAAAGGGCTTTTTAAGTAGGTAGAAGAGTTTTTTTGTTTTTTTGTTTTTAGAAAAGGCAGCATCCACTCCTATTTGCCTCTGAAAGGCTGATCAATAGAGGATATATAGGATGGATGTAAATTAACACATACTCAAAATTTCGGTGTCTTATGTGTATTTTTTTTTTTTTTTTAGATTTATTTACTTATTTAAGAGAGAGTAGGCAGATACTCCCACCAGGGGAGTAGCAGAGGGAAAGAATCTCAAGCAGACTACCCCCCTGAGTGTGGAGCCCCACCCAGGACTTGATCTCAAGACCCCAAGATCACGACCTGAGCCAAAATCAAGAGTCGGTCACTCAACCGACTGAGCCACCCAGGCCCCCTCCAATGTCTTATGTGTATTTAGAAAGATTCCCTGACCAAAATAAATAGCTGGAATCATCATGTTATGCTGTTTTTAGATATTAATTATATGACAGAAAAGTATTTCACTTGGTTAGAAAATATCTTTTAGCACCACTAATTTTTAAGGTTAATTAGGTTCCTAAGACCACAGTTTTAACCAAAGTTCACCACCACAGTTCTCCAACAGAAGTAAATGTATGAGGGGGTTTGTGGCCATCTTTGTACACCCACAACCACCCACAGTGTGCCTTAATAAAGAAAATGGTGGAATAAATTATGTGTTGTATTGAGCATGTTATTTCATAAACTTCAGATGAGAATGTGCTCCCAGAGAAACATCTTTTAAGAAGACAATGTTTCCCAAATAGAATGGAGTAGGCAGTGAAGTGAATTTAGAAGATGCAGTTCTCCCACAGCCAGACAAATTTCAATAAATCACAAACAAATTATAAATATCTTTAGGAGTAGAAGAGCAGAAAAGTAGGATTTGGCTCTAGTCACAGGCTGAAAAATTCCCTTTCAGACAGATCAAGGAACTGATCCCATTTACACAAGCCTGGCTAAGCAAGGGGTTTACAGCTGTATGAATCCAATAATCTAGATAA